AATGATTTTTTCATTTCAAATAACAATTCTCTATTGTCTTTTAAAAATTCGGCCAACACGCAGGCCAAGATATCTTTCTGACACCTATCTTCGCTTATGACCGGGTCATGCATCATCCATCTCTCTTTCCTTTTTTTTCCCTTTCTTCCTCTTTTCTTTCCCCTTCCTTCTTCTTTCCTTAGGATCGTCTAAGTACAACTTAGTGAATTATTTTCAACTCAATTATTTTCCGTTTAAAAAAAAAAAATCAACAACCTGTTTAATAAACCGAGTAAAAAAAAAATTAAATCATATTTCTATGAATATTTCTAATAATGCAAGGTGCCACAGAAATGTTACTAGCCCCGCTGTGGAAAAATCGAGATCAAAACCGGCAGGCAAGTTTAAAAAGTGGTGAGCTGTAACTGGGAGCTAAGGGAAGCCAAAGATTTCGTGACGAACAAGAGGCTGTAAGATTTTCCTTTACTTCCAATTCTCAACTCAAAAATTATTACAACACTTCCTGACAAAACATGTTTTCAAGTTTGTCTTATCCCTACTCGTTGTCATCGTTTATTTCTTTTACTTATTGCTGGACGCTACTTTTGTTATTAGAGTTGAGATATCTCACCAAAGTTCTTCCCAGCGCACCCTAGATTGTTTGTTTCATATATATATATATATATATATAATAACAATAATAAAATTTGAAACCAATTAAATAATCTGGATCATAATACACGTTCCAAGGAAAATATTATTGATGATACTGACCAATGTAATTGCAGGAATTCTGACCAATGCCCATTGCCAAACAAATATTTAACTGAATCTCTTGTTTATCTTTGTACTATCTCTACAATAGAGAATCCGACGTTGAAAAATTCTATATTGATAGTATTAAGAATTCTTTCAAGACTAGCTGGTATCAACATACCTTGTCCTTCACCAATAGTACTTACAGAAATAATACATCACTTTCTAAATATTTTTAGAGTTTAAAAGATGATAATAGGGCTTCTAAGATGAAACGGAAAATTTCAAAAACGGCAAGGATATGTAGATCTTTATATGAACCCTGTTTTCTTTGCTTACACGAAAAATTGGAAATTATCAGATTCAGTAAAAATTTCTTATTAAATCAAAGAAATGAATCAACCATAAATTGTAAACATAGTTTACCTCTTACCTTACAATTTAGTTAAGCTTTGGAATTTGATTATGCTTTTTCATAGATTTTAGTTGTACTACGTTTCACCATATGGCTTATCTTTCTATTTGTAAGATTAATTTGGATTTAACACAGTTTTTTATTAATCTCCTGGTAGTATGAGTAATATCTTGTACGGATGTATTGGTATTTGGTTGGTGTTTTTAACATTTTACATTGAGTGGTTATTGTTATTAAAATCTTGTATGAAGAATCTTTATTTAACAGTTGCATATTAATTTACCAAATAATTCTATACGTTTAAATTATTTAATAGTTTCTTAAAGAAGCTATTTTTATTTATCAACTATGAAACTTTCATGTAGGAAACTCAAAAAACATATACCTTGTTTCAACATTTTGCTAAATTACCTTTCCACTTCAATTTTATTTCTTAGGAAATGGCATTGTCTAGTTTGTATAATTTATGTATCCATTAATATCTGTTCCTGTTTATGTCTGGCTTTTCTTTTAATTTTTGCTTCTTCGCTTACTTTAAATTTAACGTAGGTCATAATTGATTGGTTGATCAGAGTAAAACCCACAAACCTTATACACTCCCTTTTATTTTTTCGTAAATTGAGGTTGTATTTTGCTTTTAAAGCAAGTAATTTACAATCGCTTATTTAGATGCATTGATTGGCATCGAAACTCGGTTGCAATTGTGTATTGATTTCAGCATGTTTTCGGTGTAATATCTTAATATTATATATATATATATATATATATATATATATATATATATATATATAAAGAAAGAACAGCAAGAATATAATCCGGTGTTCTTATAGATATTTTTATTTTTACAAAATAGTGATCAATGTAAATTTACAGAGCATTAATATTAGTAACTCTGATACATTTTACTTCTATTAAATGAAATATAGTCTATAAAAACTAATACTGAAAATATTTTAAAGTTGTAATTAAAATTACAGATAATTAAAATGAATTCTAACCTAAACTTCTTTTAAATTGTAATTAAATAAATAAATAAAGTTTACTAAATCAGAGAAATGAAGTAGCTATTTTTGCCGTAAAGAAAAAAAAAATTTACTTAAAAAATATTTAAATATAAAATTTTAAAAATCGAAATATAAATATACTTGATATAGAAAAATAATTTTACTGATTTTTAGTAACTCTGAAACATTTTACTTCTATTAACTGAAATATAGTCTATAAAATCTAATAATGAAAATATTTTAAAGTTGTAATTAAAACTGTAGTTAATTTAAAATGAATTCTAACCTAAACTTCTTTTTAATTGTAATTAAATAAATAAATAAATAAATAAAGTCTACTAAATCAGAGAAATGAAAATTTTACTTTAGTAATATTTAAATATAAAATTTTTAAAAAATCGTAATATACTTGATGTTATAATTATTCTACAAACTGTAAGGGATTCTAATTACATTTAATTGTTCTTGAAAGAAATATAGTATATTAAAAATTAAAAGTAAAAATATTTCAAATCGTACTTAAATAAAATGTATTCTTACCTAAACAACCCCCAACAACAAAAAAATCTTTAAATATACGAAAGAAAAAAATTCCGTAGGAATTTTATCCGTTACCAATATAATTTTAAAAAAATCTAGACGACAGGCTTTTAATGGAAGTTAGATTTCATTGAAAAATACATCCCTTCCCATTACCCAAACGTAGCAATAGCTGATACATTAAATTATAGACATATTGAACACCCAGTCACCCCTGTCGAGAAAAATGGATTTATCTATAACCTTGGAAACATGAATTTTGTTTTAGCTGTGTATTTAAAACCCAGTAATTTTAAAAAGTTACTCCAAAATTCGCTTGAGAATGAAATGGAACTAATGTCTTTAATTTAATCACAAAATTAAATTCGGGGCTTTTAGCTTCCATTTTTGAAACATGGTTAGAACTGTGGAGCGAAAAAAACCATATTTTAAATCAATTAATTTATAATATATATATATATATATATATATATATATATATATATATATGAATAAAAAGTGACAAAAAAACTATACTTAGCCGACGCGTTTCGCCTTCTGAGAGACTTTATCAAACAATGTAGGATTTATTATGCTGCATGTCTTTACATATATAAAGGCCATGGGTGTCATTGTTTTATCTAGGCTTCTAAATTTGCGAACGTTCATGAATGTTCATCAGGTGGTTGAAAGGTCAGTCAAAGTATGTGGAGGACGCAAAGTGTTCTAATTCAAAGTCTGGTGAAAAGTAAAATAAGCATGTATTATTCAATATTTTTAAAATGAATATTGCTTGGATTGTGATTACATTGTAATGGTATAAGTTGGACGTTTGTGCTGTACACCTTCAAAAAATGAAATTATGGATTTAACAGTTTTCTTTTGATTTTTCAACATATTTGTTGTTGTGTATGTTTGCCTGGGAGAGTAGAAATTCTTTCAGGAAATGTGTAATTGGGAACAAAACCGGGGCCTAGATTGATATTTTGATAATATTCGATGGCGGTACTTTCGAGAATTTTCCTTCTGAGTAAAGTACTTTCTCTTTTGATGAGTGTGGAATTTTTTAAATCAAAATTGTGCTCGAATTTACTTCTGTGTTTGTCTAGTACATTTCTTAAATTGTTATTTATGAAGTTCCTTGTGTGTTCATAGATACGTGTTTTTCAGTTTCTGCATGTTTCCCCTGTGTATTGTGTCGAATATGTTTGGATCTAAATATGGATCTAAATTACTATATAAATTGAAGTATCAAAAGTCAAGGGATAGATGAATTAGTGTTGTCCAGGATCTCCTCTCGCCTGTCAAATTTCAGCAAGCAACTCGACCTGACATTTCTACAAATTCAAAGCTTACAGACTAAAAGCATATTGAGCTATGACATCTTGAGAGTTGGCCACAGTAAGTTCTCACAAAGTAATGCACTATGCAACCCACAAAAGACTACACAGCTACTCCATAACTTTTAGCACCTCAGTACACACACACACACACACACACACATATATATATATATATATATATATATATATATATATATATATATATATAGAATCCATCGACTAATGCGTTTTCGATTAGTGGTATTTTTAAATACCAAAATTTGATTAGTGCATACATAATACATAATTCGTGCGAAAACATTCTTATTAACTGATGTGGGCCCAAAGTTGGGACCACGGAAGGAAAACACGGAACACGGATTAGAGGTAAGAAAGATATTTTAAACAAAAAGGTTACAAAGATAGTGTAAGTGTAAGCGGAGCTTACAATGTGCTAGTGTCCAATATTGGTAGTCGTACGCGGCTGATACTACGGTATTAGAATACTCTCTCTCTTTCCTCCTCTTCTCCTAGAGTGTTATATCGCATACTTTATATAGTCCTGGAAGAGTCCATGTTGTAGGTATGTTACGGTCTCACAACACTAACATTCAATTACTATTTTTAAACTCCTTGTTTAACCATAGTAATTGAAAATTAATTTTTTATAGTTACCGATGTACACACTAGCACCACTAATCTGAGATTCATGTATATATATATATATATATATATATATATATATATATAGAGAGAGAGAGAGAGAGAGAGAAAGAAAGAGAGAGAGATTTGAGAGAGAGACCGATCGGGAGTGAGTAAATTGATTGAAACAAACGCGGTAAAATTAAAGAAAAACAACTGAATCATGATTATTTACATTTCAAAAGGATATATTTATGAAGTTTTGTTAATTTAATAGCTTTTGTGTTTAGAACTATTTATAGCTTCTGATTGGATAGACATGTTGAGTGACTAAATTCAAATTCTTTTAAATTGTAATCTTACTTTTGCACACAACTAAAAATCGTTTAGTATTGTCGTCCACTACAATAGATAGATAGATAGATAGATAGATAGATAGATAGATAGATAGCCTAATTCAGATTGAAACTTCCTAAATCGTAAGAAAACTATCGATATTTTACGTGTAGGTAGCTGTATTATTGCTTTTTGCCTCCTGTTTTATGGCCCGTGGGAATGTCAAACGCATTTTGGTGATTTTGTTTCCGGATTATGATACACGTTACTTTCATTGCATTCTAAGTGAACACAAAGTGTATAATTATAATATCTGGGCTTTTCGTACGGATTGCTACTGAATGAAGAAGAACAATACGATGAAAGCGTGAAGAATAATAGAGAGTGATTTAGAAAGAAAGAAAGAAAGAAAAGGAAGAATGAAAAGTAAAAGTGGTAAAGAAAAAAGAGGTAATAGTCAATGAAACTTTGTAAAATAAATCATTGATAGCAACAATGATAAGAAAGTAAGCGGAATTTAAAAGAAGTTATTGTAAAGGTGAATAAGTGGAGGAAAGTTAACAAAAATATTAGCAATAAAATGAACATCTTATAGTAAAACCTATTAAACTCCTTTTTGCTTGCGCGAAAAAGAATATACAAAAAGATATAAAGGTTTTTTTTCTTTCAAAATAAATTGTCCAGTAAGTTCATTGGGTCTCTTTTCTTTACATTTTTTTCGTTGACAATATATTCTTTCTCTTTTATTTCTCCATGCAATATTTGGTTGGTGTTTCCTTTGCACAGTAATATTGTCTTTTTAAATACACCACCATTTCCCCTCTCTCTCTCTCTCTCTCTCCCTCCCTCCCTCCCTCTCTCTCTCTCTCACACTCTCCTCTGTCTATCTAGCTATGTATCACACACACACACACACACACACATACACACACACACACCATCATTTTCAGTTTCTACTAAATCATTCACTTCTCACTTACGTGGCCAAAGGATTTAAAAATGGCTGACTGCTTTTCAGATGAACAGTTTAATAGCTTTTTTGCTTTTTGCTGCAGAAAGTCGAACGAGATTAGATTTTCTTTCTGTCTTGTGTGTCTGTAGCTGAACTGATATTTAGAGATTTTCTTAGGAAATGGCTGCTTCAAAATGTTCAGTACATATATGGAGACACACATGCACACACATTCTTACATACACACCCCCACAAAGACATACACATATATATGCGTGAGCGTATATGTGTACACGAGTATCCATCAGTGAGTTCTTAGCATGACACGGATTTTTGATCTGAAATGTTCACTATACAAATGAGTGTTTACATATATTATGTGTGTTTGTGTGTGTGTGTGTGCGTGTGTGTGTGTGTGTGTAGGTAGTAATCCATTGATATAAGCCAAGCAAGTCCTATTAACACAATATAGAATTTTAAATATTAAATATTAAATGTTAAAACTGACTTACAAAGAGCGCACAGTGTTTATTTTCATTAAACACAGAAAAAATTTTCGTACAACTGGAATTATGATACCATTATTTAATGATCATTTTCACCCGCGAATTTTAAATTCTACAAACTGACACCATAAACAGTTTGAAAAATCCACCGAATTTTAAATTTAAAATTCGCGGGTTAAAATGATAATTAACTAATTGTCTTAATTTCAGTTGTATCTATATATATATATATATATATATATATATATATATATATATATAATTATCTATTTGAAAATTATAACATAAATTTGTTATAAAATCACTACAAAAATAGCCATTTTGCTTCAACACTTCTGGTGTCATATCAAGTGATGATGTTGAATGTAGATTGTAGAATAAATGTTTTAAAAGGTTCAAATTAATTAACCACTCCTCGTAAGGGGAAACGCTGTTACATGAGTTGGAATGACCATTCAAAATACAAGTATACGAGAATTCAAAAAACATGACAACGAAGTAAGATTATAATAATTATGAACTAACAGTTAACTGTAAACACTTTTATAAATTTAACTTATTATAGGGGTTGTAATACTTTCAATAATAATGATATGTCATTGTAAATTTAATAGGTTATTATTTCTATTAACTGATGGTCCTCCTGTTGATATGGGTGTGTGTTGGCATACGTATACTGTGTTGTTCATGTCTGTATGTGTGTGTCTGTTTTTTTTTACTGCTGGTTGTGTATGTATGTATATATATATATGTAAGTAGGTTATATATATATATTAAAAGTAAGTAGGTAAATAAGAAAGAAAAGGAGAGAAAGATAAAATATATGTATATATATATATATATATATATATATGTCCAAATGTATTGTGTATATATATTTCTATTTACGTGTACTTCTGTATGTATGGATATGTTTATGTATATATGTGTATGTATGTATATGTATATATATTTATGTATGCATAAGTATGTATGTATATGTATATATATAGTTGAGTATGTGTGTGCTTAGGTGTATGGACGTATATATATACTTGTAATTATAGGTATGTATATGTATGTATATATATATATGTGTGTGTGTGTGTGTGTGTGTGTGTGTGTGTGTGGTCACCTATCATATATGAGCTTCTTTGTGTGTAGGTGTAGGTATGTAAACTTTATTTGTATCTACAGGTGCGTGTGTATGTGTATGTGTATACATGTATATGTATATATTGTTGTATTTGTATGTGTGTATATATATATATATATATATATATATATATATATATATGCTTGGATGTGTGCGTATGTGTATATATATATATATATATATATATATATATATATATATATATGCTTGGATGTGTGCCTACTTACATACATGTATATGCGGATGTGTTGATATGGGTATTCATTATTATATATTTGTATATTTGAATTTATGTTCGTATTACTTCGTATATGTATATGTATGAATATCTTAGCGTTTGGGAATGTATCATCTATACTAACTAAAATTTACTTTTGTTTGATAAGGGGTTGTTAATTGCTTATAGACTTAATCAACAATTGTGTCTTGTTACATTTTAAAATTATTATGGACTCTAGTGTAATTTATCGTCAACAGGATAATATTGTTAGAATATGTGTAGGTTTATATATGTATATACCTATTTATGTGTGTGTATTTATGTATATATATATATATATATATATATATATTGATATGTATGTGTGTATGTGTGTATATATTTATATATATGTGTATGTTTAAGTCTCCGTTTGTTTGTTTTTGTTTTTGTTTTTTATATATATATGCGTGTGTTTGCATGTGTTTGTACATATGTATGTTTAAGATTATATATGTATATATACATACATATATTTATCCATGTGTATATATAAATGTGTGTGTGTATATATGTATGTATGTGTATGTGTATGTATTTATATATATTTATATTTGGTATTTATATTTGGTTGTTTACTTTACTTTTTTAAGTTGCTGTGTAGGTTGATATATTTATGCTTGCTTCTGTATGTGTATATATGCATATGAGTATGCGTATGTGTATGTGTGTATATGTGTAGATATATATATATGTGTATGTGTGTGTGCGTGTATATGTATGTATGTTTGTACATGTTTGTCTATAGGTTGGCTTTTCTGTACTTCTGTCTGTGGTGATGAATGTGTGTACACTGTACACATATATTTGTAGGTAGTTCTTATTTTCTTTAACGTAACGTACAATAAGATGTATATAGACATATATGAAAAATTTATATTTTTATATATATTTGTGTGTTTGAAATTTTCGTTTCTTATATATTAGATGTTGTTATTTTTATACGTATATATCTGTTTTAATGTCCTTTCTTTCCCTATTGTTTGTTTCTCTGTTCTATTAGATCATTTTTATTTATATATATTTGCCCGTATAAGTTATATTTTAATAGGTGGTTAGAATTCGTTTAATAAGACCTTTAATCTTGAATATTTCTTGGATGTTATATCGGAGTGTCTATGTCAATGTATGTGGGTATATGTATGTGTCTTTTTCGGTGTCTGTGTATAGTAACTTGCATGCACTTTTCATTGTGTATGTGTGTGGTTTTAATTTTTTTTTTTTTTGTAAAAGTTCGTGCAAATATTTTCTGTCTCGTCACTTTTTTGTATGTGTATATATCTAAATATGTCTGCGTGCTTATGTATTATAATCTGATTGCGTTTGTATTGTCTTTTTGCAAGATGTCATGTCTACACTTGTATCCATGTTGTCATTAAGTTAAGGGCAGTCGATCTTCACGTTTATTCCACGTAATTTCAATAGAAACAAAATAAATAGAATAATATATATGTATTTTTCTTTTTTCCTCAATAATTTTAAACTTAATATAGATTAAATTTACATTTTGAAATGGGTAGTTTTAATTTTAATTTGAAATTTTATCGTACAATTTAATCCTTATTAGTTAGAATAAATTCTATTTTAGTATAACCCCAACATTAAAGCATTTAATAGTTATTATAACCTTACTTCGTTGTCAAGTTTTTGAATTCTCGTATACTTGTATTTTGATTGGTCATTCCAGCTCATGTAACAGCGTTTCCCCTTATGAGGGGTGGTTAATTAAATTGAACCTTTTAAAACATTTATTCTACAATCTACATTCAACATCATCACTTGATAAGACGCCAGAGGTGTTGAAACAAAATGACTATTTTTGTAGTGATTTTATAACATATTTATGTTATAATTTTTAAATAAATAATTATATTCACTCTACTCTGTATTGAGCACTCTTTTAAGAATAATAATTGTTGGTTATTGGAATTTATTCCGTATACACCAATCATATATAGATATATATATATATATATATATATATATATATATATATATATATATATATATATATATATATATACGAAATTTAAGTATTAAAAATATAACCAATGTTTATTTAAGCAGCGATGTGAAATCTTTCCTTTCTGCTTGTTTCTTTAAAGAACATTAGAAAATCTGTGTTTTCACTTAGTACGTTTAAATATCGGGAAAACATTTTGAATCTTCTTCTTCGGCCCGTACCAGAAGTTAATAATAGGATTAGAAACTTCAACATTTCCTGGACAGAAACACCGTGAACGTTACTGTTTCTTTTTATTTCTCAATTCTCTTTATTCACTATTGAATCTTTTATGCATTATGATGGTGTTATATACGAGACAACATATAAGCGAAAATTCTTCAGTGAGCAAAATGCATCTATCAATTATTAAATGCC